AACGTTTTACATCCAACACAGATACTAACTTTAATACTGAACAGGGAAATACAGCACATAAAGAAATATTTATACACATACCATTTGTACAGTATATCATGAAAGTCACCTCTAACTGCACACACACGCCTTTTGTTTTAAAATTTCCTGTGGGGACTTTACATTCACTTGCATTTATTTCTCTGAGGACTTAAACTAACCTTAACCATAACCACTACTTCCCTTAAACCAGGTTTCAATCTAAAGTTCAGTTATTTAGATGGTGGGGACTGGTGTGTGGTTGCCACAAGGAAACTCTCCGCCCCACAGTATGAGTGTTTAAGCAGGGTCTGGTTCCCACAGTGCAACACCAGGCACACACAGAGTTCTGTTTTCATCACGTCATAGGAAATTACATCAACTTGCATTAATTTCCTGGAGACTTGCACCAATGTTAGCCATACTCACAGTCAGCTTAGCCTAACTTTAACATAACGTAACCTTGGCCTAACTTAAACCAAGTCTTCACCATAAAAATGTAATGGTTTACATTATGGGGACTTGCTTTTTGTCCTCCAAAAGGAAAGCAAGTCCCCACATGTGACTGTATAAACAGATTTATGTCCCCACAACATGAGTAATAAGTACACGCACAATAATACATTAAGACTTATCCGAATGCTAACATCACAACTACTGAGGGAAAAACATAACTGTAAGACGCTTTTTGTTTTAAATCCTCTGAACAGCATAGGATTATAGAAGGCAACACTGAAGGAAAGGGTTAAACAAAAAACCATTATTATTTAATAGACTAAAATTTGGCCAAAGAGATGCTCCTTCACATTTGAACACAGGCCACAATGCATAAAGGCTTTCATGCCTCTGCCTTTTATGCCTCTGTGCCTATTTTTGTCCAATACAAGGTGACAAAACAGCTGAAAAGAAAGTATAAAATAATTTCCACCTTCAACTCAATATCTTTGTATCTGATTCAAGTCATGGAAGGAATAAAAATCTAATGAGAGATGGGGGAACGGCAAGATAGAAGAGGGTGCAAATATAAAGCAGACAATGTGTGAGAAAGAATAAGGGAGAATGAAAGAAAGTCATAGACATAAAATAAGTAGGAGAGAGTATGTGAGGGTGAAGGAGTGAGGGGGTACTGGGCGTGTGTGACATAGAGTCCCCAGAGTCCTAATTATCACTGTATGAATTATTGCATCTGTAGAACATGTTCGTACACACATGTTCATACACGCACACCACTTCTTTGGTTATCCCCTGGAGTCTCAGACTTCCTCCATACACCTCTAGACCACTCATCACCTGAGGCGTTTTCTCCCTCATACATTCTCCTCTCTTGTCTACTCTGGCTCCCATCTCCTAAAACCTCTTCTTATATCTACATTTTCATTGGCGTATTCTATATGTTTGTCTTGTGCTAACTCAAACCAGGGGATCAAAACATTTTGGTTTTGTTACGATAAGAGATTACCGGTTCTGTTGAACTATGGGAGAAAACAAACCTCACTTTGTTGTGTTTGATTTTACCTGCACACAACTCAGCAACTAGTATTTTGGTTAGTTGTTTAAATGAACACTTCCACACTATAATTATCCTTTGTCTTGCTAGGGGAATGTCTTGAATGTTTGGAACTACAGTTCCTGCAGTGCTTTGGGAGCTATAAACATAAAGTATAATGTTGCAGGGGAGTTGACTAATTAGTTATGGGTTTTTGTTTTGTTTTGTTATTTTTTTATAGCTAGTTATTAAACAAAATCAAGCTGAGGACAGGATAAAACAGGAGCATGTATGTTCAAGTCAGGCTTTGTCAGTGGTTGGGAGCTAACAAGGTCACACTGTGGTGGGCAGCTGCTCTTACAAGCTGAAAAATTCTAATGCAGCCTCTATCATATCAAGAGATTGGTAGCCATCTACCCTTAGGTATAATAATACAAGACCAGAATTCAGTTTACATGGTAATATTTGCAGTACAAATTTGTTTGTGCTAATGCAACATGCACATACTAACACACTACAGGTAGCTTACCTGGTATGGATATAGGGTAACTCCTCCATTAGTTCGATTCATGTGCTGATGGGCCTGCAGAGCTGCTGTACTCAGAACTGCCCCACTCCCATTGTTACTGCTGTTGCCACTATTATTACTGGGGCTGTTCACTCCAATCACTGCCTGCTGTTGGGCAGCAGCTGCTTTTCCTGAACTGGGGGATCCATTCCTTCTGTCAACCCCACCTCCCAGCCCCAGGGAGCTTGGCTTGCACCCCAGTTTGTGCCCTGGTCCTTGAGGTTGTGGGTTTATGGGAGCACAGCTGGATGTTTGTGCCACTGAGGGACTCCCATGGCTTGGATTGAATGGGCCATTGCTCAGACTGGGCGCTGGGGTCTGGCTGGGACTTGGAGAAGGTGACTGGGATGACTGGTGAGGAGGATGTGAAGCTGCAGCAGCAGATGAGGAGGAAGGGAGAAAAGGAGGAGGCCAATCCCGTGATCCAGAACCTCCAGGTACTCCAGGTGTTCCGGATGCTCCCATTGGACCAGGAGGCCCTTGAGATCCATATCGTCCAGTCAGGGCAGGAGGAGATGAGGTGGGAGACAAATCCCACTGGTCGAGAGTGAGGACCATGTGCACAGCTTCCTGTTTGAGCTGAGTGAGGTGAGTGGCGCAGACATCACAGCGACTGTCACGCTCATTCCATGCCCGCCGAGAACTGTTGGGCACCTGAAGTTTATCATGGAGGAGGAGAGAGAAGGAAGGATCCTGGAAGGAGAGAGAGAGAAACAAAAAGTGGGATTCAGTCTGGTGTCTGCAGGAATGAATTAGAGCAAAATGAAGCAAGCACAGCATGTTTAGAGCTGTACTGAAGAATATACCTGGAGAGGAGAGAAAAAGAAATGAACGGCATGTTGCACAAGTCATGACTGTGAATATTTATAGAACATCTAGGAAATATAGCCATGTGGCCTGGGGGAAGATGTACAGAGAGAGAAACTCACACCAAATAAAAAAGCAAGTACACACACTAAATCCTCTGGGTCCAAAGGGTAAAAGTGTGACAAAACCTGGCAGCAAGGAGAGTCGTCAAATACAGAAATGAAAAAAAACTGACCTTCTACTCTCCCTTTTCTTTCACACCACGAATCTTGCCACAGTGCAGCCTGACATTGTATGTGTTGAGTGCATACACATTTCAATCTTCTGTGAGTGTCTTGGTGCAATAAATACAGACGTTATGAGAGAAAAACTATAAAATTATTTAACAAGGAGGGAAATCACCAGGGGTTAATTTTTGCTGGAGCAAGCCGAATCTGCATCCGACACCTCTTAGATTGTGGCCGGCACCTATTTTAGCGAACCTGGCACCTCATTTACATATGAAAGAAATTGAATACAAGAAAAGTCATAAGTCTAATACTTTTTGTACAACTATCCTTTTACAACAAAATATTAGGCTAAAATTCAAACAATTAAATGCAACAAAAACAGACAGTTAAGCCAATTTGAATGAATCAAAATGAAACCAGCTGGTGCAGTCGATATGACTCCGAGGTGCTGTAACACTGGCCTCATGGGTCAGTGTTACAGCAGGTGGGCCTAAGTCTGGGCTGAAGGACTCAATAGGCAGACTCATACAGAAGGAATCAAACAAAGAGCTTTATTTCAGAAGGACTGTACTAGAGGCAGGAAGAAGGGCCAGCGAGTGGAGGTCGAACCAATCCGGCGGTGAGGTGTAAGAGTCGGATGAGAAACGGGAGTATGTGCTGGGGTGGCTGACGGCTGGTGAAGTTTCAACGAGGCAGGACACACTGGTAGACATGGAGGCTGGCACTGCAGGCTGAAGAGGAGCTGAGCTGATTGGATGCAGGTTCAGGAGTTACCCCATCAGTGGCGAGGAACCACAGGTGAGGATCGGTTGCAGTGCTGGAGCTGGCTGGGTTGGTGTCGCAGGCAGAAGAGAAGCTGAGTGGAACCCTTGCAGGTGCAGGAGTACCCAGGTGGCGGTGAGGAGCCACAGGTGAGCAGTTTTCACAGGACTGGAAGTGGCTAGGTTGTTGTCACTGGGAGCACTGAGCTGGAGAGTAGAGGTTTCAGGAGCAGTCCAGGCAACAGCATGGAGCCCAAGGTTGTAGCGGTCACAGGAGCTAGCCAGGCAGCATCATTGAGCACAGGTGAGTGCAGTCACAGAACCCACTGTTCATGTAACCTTTTGAAACCCCCTTAAAAAATTCCATCTGTTGTTGAATTGTAAGTCGTGGCACTAAACTGACAATGGTCTACTTGCAGGAACAAATGTTGAAATATTTACACAAAGTGACACATTTGTGAAAAGACCAACAACAAAAATCTTATGGCATTAGACTCCTCGTGTGCACAGGCCCACCGGCCAAAGAGGCTGCCTGATGTGTAGGACTATGTGTGTGTGTGTAGGACTGCTCTTGGTGTTGTTTTAAAAATGTTCTAACCTTTCTACTTTTGGGTCAGTGCTTTTGTTCACAAACATTTCATGGTCAGTTGTGTGATGCATCAGACAGCTTCTAAACGCTCCCGCAGCTACAACTGTTACACTTTCACCATGTTCATAGACATCTGCCCTGAGTGGGAGGAACTCGTAACACAACAGTCGATATGACT